AAGCTTAACCTTCATCTTTTGCTTGCAGAAAAAAATATGTTCTTTTCTTAATTTATTTGCTAAATGACAGCCCTCTTTCTCTTGCAAACAAAATAATTTTAATATATACTCAAAATCAATCATATTATCTTCTTCATCCATAAATTGTTTTTTCTCTCCAAAAGCATTTCTCACTAACTTAATCATATGGGCAGGATCCACAAATGTCACTATTTCGTTGTTATCAAAAACAAAAGACGTGCGGTAGGTATTAATATTAAAATCACAACCCAAAAGTTTTGCAGTAGTTAAGTTGGTTGCACATCCATCAAACGTTAAACTTATTATTGTTATACCAGTTGGTTGTAAGAGTGTTAAAGCATGTTTAATTAATTCAGATTTTTGGGAACTATTAAGATTACTAACCAAAAAGTATCCAATTGGTAGCTTCCAATTTTCAGTCACAGAAACAACCATAAGTACAAAGCATTCTTTGGCTATATCGAGGCTATCATTGGTCATTCCATTGCCTAAATCTACACGGCCGTAGTATGTTCCAGTACAGCTATCATATTGAAGATGTTGGCGAATAGCCATCTCATCCATCATCAGGGCACAATAAACCGGATTAGTGGAATTTTTTACTTTGAGTGTTAATGATTTAAGGGATTCTTGTGTAAATCCTGGATTAGCATTAACATTAGCATACCATTTGCTAAGAGTACGCTGGTGTGGTAGTATAGTATTAAATTGTTGTCGAACATATTCATATGCTCTAACAGAGAAAAAGTGCAACGATAAAGCGAATTGCCTAACAGATGGGCTATATTTTTTAGGAACTTTCTTACCCATATTTTTTTTAGCCCAATTAATGATTAAATCTTGTTTATTACCAAAAGATTCCAACAATGTGAAGCCAACATCTTCATTTATGAGGTTCTCATTCTGCAATTTGGTGATGATCGTTTTCATTGATGCAATTTTCTTTTTCTGTCTTCTAACAGTTTGTTGTACATTTTTAATCTTCATATCTTTAATTTTAAGTTCACCCTTTAGTGCCTGAATTCCTCGTTTTAGGAAGCGACGACGTGGAGTATCTGATGTATGGAACTTGCTAGCATCCATTAGTGATATTTCATGTTTGGAGTTCATCTAAATTAAAAATAATGAGTTTAAAATCATGCAGGTACTTCGAATGCATAATAAACAAACAACAAATATAATTTTATACCATTTAATTTAAATAGTCATACTTACACAAGGTTTTTTAATACTGAATTTATCAGAAGTGCTTTCTATGTTTATGGATGGTGAAGTGGAAGAAGAATCAACTGGCAACAATGATGCTATCTCATCTTCATCGTTTGCACTATTATTACAACCAGCCAATTCCTAAAATATAACAAGAATACAAAATTATCTATAAAATTATTAATAAATAATAAAATAGCACCCAATTAGGTACCTGTTCATGTATATTTTCACTTTTTTGTAAGCCTTGACCAACGGATATCAATGAAATATCCATGTCTTCTTCTGTATTTAATTCATACACATAAGATGACTAAAATAGAAAAAGTTATTATAATTATTTGAAGTTAAAAACAAAAATGCATAAATATGTGTAATTAGTTAAAATAGGTTATTCACCTTGACTTCAGTCCTTTCAAACACAATACAGTTGTTACTTGTACTAGACACATCAGAGTTTGAAAAACTTGGCAGGAGAGGTTTTACTAATTCTGGATAAACATTTTTAGGCTAAAATGCAATAATAATTAATATAAAATAAAAAATCTAATGCTTGGGCATTTTTTGTATATACAATAAAACAAAAACTTACATTTTTCACTCTTTCAACAATACATGTTGGAACAGCAGTTTTTTTTAGAATCCTCATGTTTTGATTTTCATTACAAGTAAAACTAGCTAAATCAAAATGAGCAGAACAAATTAAACTGTTCTTAGTGATATCATTTGTATTTAAACCATTTTCATTTATGAAATTCAACCATTTTACTCTAATATTTTCTTTAGCTGGAAACCTAAGTAAAAATAAATGATAATTATATGAATGCAAAAGACATTTATATATAAATAAAATACATATTAATAAAGATGATCAAACACAAATAATATTCAAAATATAACGGTTGTTATTCATGATACTTACTTATGAAAAGAGATATTAGCACTTTTGGATTTTGCATTTCTCGATCTATTACAACAAAAACAGCTCGGCATTTTTCAATAAAAACAATTGAAATTAAACAAAATAATACAAATTAGGACGTTTTACGTACTAGCTCAAGTGGGTAAATAATAAACAATTTACTAAACATAAAACAATTAACAAGTGGTAATCATTTAATCAAGTAAACCGTAAATAAATAACGATAAACATTATCAGTTATTCAGTTATCACTTAATAGTTATGTCAAACAGGTTGACTTTAAGTTTTAGTTGTACATTTTTTTGTTCTTTGTAAATGGAAACCCTGCAAAAGGGAGGCCAACTGCGCTTCAACCTGTCATACAGGCAGTATAGGGAAACGGCCTCTCTATATTACTCTATGACGTACACGCATACGTGTATAGTGGAAACCCGCCTTAATGATTAATTTAAAATGTATAATAGATCATTTTTTTTTTTCAATACCATCGACAAGTATGTCTTATACCTAGACTGACATACCGTCTCCACTCAGAATCGTTTTTCTTATACAATGATATTATATCATTGAATTCAAATTTAATACCATCCATTATACTTGTAACCTACTGTACAGCAGAGCGACATCCACTTGTCCTCATTTTTCTTTTTAAATCTAAGATTTTAAAATGTGATACATTAAGATTATCTACCTTTATCAAGAAATAAATGTCAATAAGAAAGTCAAATTAAATTTTCATGAGCGTTTGAAATTCAAATTTTTACAGTATTGGATATTCACTCGATTTCTCATGTAATACAATTTCTATATATCTTAATTTCCAATATAATAATATAGTTTATTAATAGTTATTACTTATTACTATCATTATGTAGGAAATAATGAATAGTAGTTTTATTAGTTTTCTTATCAGTTTTATTATGGGCTGGTCAAAACTTTTGCCCCCCCCCCTCTCAAAAACTAATGACACCACTGCTTATAACTCATTATTCGTTATAATGTTATAACTAGTAATTACAACTTATAACTTCTTGTCGAAGATTCAATTTTATATACTGATGTACTAAAAAACATTAATTCTGCTTTAGAATAAAAAATTGAAAATGTGTACTGTCATTAAAAATAATAAAAAATATAATTATTATAATTATAATTATAATTGTTTTCTGAAAATGTTGTAAAAAAAATATTTTCAAGAATGTTGAGTTTTTGAAATAATGAAAATCCTTATATTATTTGCCCGAAATATATTATACTGGCCTATCGCTGTACAAAAAATAAAACTTACTCTCCCTGTCATCTTTTTGGTTCCCGCTACTTGAGGATCTACCTGATTAAAAAACCATGCAAGGGTACTGTTTCCACGTCAACGTACACCAGTTGCACGAAAAGCGGTACCGGGATGGTCGGTTGCCAAATTACTATATCAGCGAAAGCTAACAGCAGCAGCAGCCGCAAGACAGAAGGATCTTGTCACCGCAGCGACAGCGAATGCTGCCAAGGCAAGTTGCCTTAGGCAACTAAAGCAGCTGAAGCAGCAATCGCTTTGGTTGCTAAATTGCAAGCAGAGGCAGGTGAAGCTGCCGCTTCAGCCATAGTAGCTGCTGCTTTAGTAATATAACAGCGGCAACAACCACAACAGCAGCGGCATGTAGGTTCAAATGTGCGTCACCTTCCGGAACACGGTCAACAAAATTAAAAACTGCGCATGGGTATTCGCTCCACGTCGACGTTAGAGATGTGTCGTTCGCGAACGAACGGATCAAATTGAACGGGTCAAACTTGTGAACGAAACAATCCGGATCGTGAAATAATAAAAAGTCCTTCGTTCGTTAATTCGTTCAATTTCGTTCTCGTTTGGATTGCACTGCTACCAACTCAAAATTCTTAATAATGAGTGATCCGAACTCATTAGGTAATCGGTAATCACTAATCACATTTCACTCTATGATATATTTAAACCGCGATTTAGTTTATCTATAGTCTTGTCCGTGATCACAAAAACAATAATGAAAATTGATTATATTATATCAAATAATAGTAATAATACAAGCTTCGCTTCATATCTATGACCAGCCATTGAGGATTTTTTATAAAACATTTTACATATTATTATTTATTTACCTTTGGTGAATCTTAATTTTCTATCTTTGTTATTGTATTTATGTCTATGACCATGACACAATAATATAATAACACACAGTACACACAAACTTTAATAAACGATAATCAGTTAATCAAACATTAACATTATTATATTATCTAATATCTTTATAGCCTATAGGTACCTACCTCGGGATTTACCATTACTTTATAAGTAGATATTACTCGTGATTCGTGATACTTGTCCTATTAGCCTTTAAAAGCTTTGTAATAACACAGAATACATTAAAATATTAAATCTATACTGTGGTTATAACTAATAAGTAATAAAATACAATTGATTGAAATTTGGATGTAACAACTAACAGGTACCTAAGTTATAATTTATTAAATATACATTGTGCCTTAAGCATTGATATTATAATAATTTATTTAAAATTATAATAAATAATTTTTAAAATTCATACAGGTAATATAAATTATTTTTGTACTGTATAACATGATTGATATAGTAATAGGTAAAATATAATAATTTTAATTTGATTTATTTATCTGAAAATTAAAATACCTCTTGGTAAAAATAAACAGTTAAATATTTATTTTGCTTAAGTACATACTTACTTTTTAAATTACTTGATTGACGTTTAATTGTTGGTCATTTTACATTTTAACATTTCCTTATAATTAATAAACAAATTATATTATGTGTAATAATAATAATAATATGTAGGTAATATGTTGAAAATTACATATTAAGGTTTAAAAACAAAATCTTCGATATTTTTTTTGATTCAAGCCTATTTCTACGGTCTGTAATTACCTGTCCTGCCTTTGAAAATAACCTTTCACATGGAACGGATGTGGCTATGATACAAAGACGAGTTTTAACTATTTCATAGAGTCGTGGGTAAACTTTTTGTCGCTCTGACCACCAGAGTAGTGGATTTTCATGTCTACTGATAATTTGTTCATTCAAATATTTGTCTAGCTCAATTCTGCCTGCTGCTGTAGAATTATTTCCACCGATAGCATTAACCACAGACTTGTCAAAATCTCCCCAGATTGGCGAGTTGGAATACTGAGGTGCTGAAGAAGATGATTGTTGAGGTAAATCTAACTGCTCTGTTCTTATGCTGCTTTGTAATTTATTACGAAGTTGGGATATACTCCTATTATATTTGTCCTCATTAATAAATCCATGTTTCTTGAATCTAGGATCTAGAATTGTAGCTTGAGCATTGAGTAAATTGTCTTCAATTCTGTCAAACCTAATCATCAACTTTTCTTTTAAAGTCTTGGCCATATTCAGCACTTCTCTGGGTAAATCTATGTCATTTATAAATGTATGTGTAACTTTAAACATAGCTCTTACCATAATTATTTTTTTTGAAATTGAAATATTTTTTTCTGCACTTATTTCAACAGTGACATCATAAAAAATTTTCAACAACTCTTTTGATTTATCTACAACTTTCCATTCATTTGGAGTAAGTGAATTTAATTCGGTGTTGTTTAAAATAGCCAATGTTGCAATTATTGGCTCCTTTATTCTCAATATTCTATCGAACATATCAAAAGTTGAGTTCCATCGTGTTGGGCAATCTTGTTTCAACTTTAAAATTGGATTCCCGGTTTGTTTTTGATATTCCTGCAATTTAGCTAATGCATGAGAACTTCTTTTAAAGTAAGATACAATGTCTTTAATTTTTGTTATAACAGGCTCAATCTCACCCAATCCACAATGGACAATCAAATTGATATGCGCAAAACATGACAACCGTCTCCAATTGCATTTTTCAATTGCACTTTTAATATTTGCAGCATTGTCTGATACTACAACAGTTATACGCTGACTCAATCCCCAATCATCTACGGTAGTTTTCAAAAATGAAGCTAAATTATCAGCTGTATGACTTTCTCCAAAACTAGTACATGCTAACAAAACTGAAGATAATTCAGTGACATTATCTGGATCTATGAAATGAGCAGTTACTGCAAAAAAACTTTCATTATTCCTTGATGTCCATCCATCAGTGGTAAAACATACTGCAGATACATTTTTTAATTTATCTTTTACTCTTTGGACAACCATCTCATACATTTGGGGCAATAAACTATTAGAAACTGTTTTTCTGGAAGGAATTATGTAATTAGGGGACAGCATATTCAATAATTTTCTGAACTCTTTATCTTCGACTATGCTAAAGGGGTGATATTCTTTTACTATCATTTTTATTAATTGATGGTCAATTGATATAGATTTACATAATGGCAGTGGTCGATGAATGAAATTTGCTATAGATGATTGATAATTATTTTTGTTTTGAACTATTGAAGACGAAGATGTTATAGAAGAATGAACTATTGCAGATGTAAATTGAGAAGTGGATGTCGATGGTTGTGAATTGTCAAGGTACTCAGAGTTTGATTCCTCTGCTACCTAAAAACAACCAACAATAATTTTTATATTTACATTTTATTTTATTAGTTTTATAATTTTTTTGTTTGTGAATTTTTATTAATAAATATAATATTTAAGCGTGACAAGCTTGAATGTTATGTTATTATTTATTTATATTATAATTTATACCACAATTTTTAAAATGTTAAGTTTATTTTATAAATAATTAAATTTTATACATTACTTAACACATTTACAGAATGACAAAATTAAAATATTGTTAATACCTATGCAGTGGATATTATTTTTTATACTCTTAAAATTATTTTTTAGTGTTATTAAATTATAAAATGTGTACCTGTGGTGTTGATCTTTGCAGTGGAACTGTGACATGCTTTGTCTTCATGTGCCTTAAAAGATTGCCTGTTGATCCTCCAGAAAAACTTTTTTTTTTCATTACAATAACTGCATTTTGCCATATTCCCATTTGTAAGTGTGAAATGATTCCACACATAGCTACGTTTTTTGTACAATTGATTTGTTGATGAAGCCATGTTTATTCTAATTGTATAATTGTAATAAATATGTTTTCTAATAATTTTTAAAAGATGGTATTTATATAAATTAAAGTGATTTAAGACTTACCTGTTTATTAATTATCATAAACCAATTATTAAGATAATTAAATTCAAAAAAATTGTAGAATAGCAATTTTTTTAAATGATAACTTTAAAAATTTAATAATTTAAAACACTGAAATAAAATTATCACCAATTAATAAAAACAGAATACAATTCAATTTTTATGAAAAAATCTTGACATGCTTACAAAGGCAATATCGATTTGTTAATGAGAAAAATTCATATTGCATAATATACATTTCAATAGTCTTTCAAGTTGTAACATGCTGAAACAAGTTTGGTTTTTGTTTTTGCAGATTTATGTTATGAAAGGATTTAATATACACTAAATACTGAATGTTAAATTACAGTATTATTATTTTAATTGAAATAAAGTATATTTAATTTGATCTATGTCAATCTTAGTATTTTAAATATTTAGTTGTTAAACTCAGCATCATTTTAATGATCAATATACCAACATCCAAGTTCTTACATTATACTATTGATTGTAAATATTATAAATCAATTGTATATATAATCAATGATTATAGTAATTTTACACTTATTTTACCTTTTTTTGAATTTTAATACTAACTTTAATTCAACGTATTACAACAATAATTGAATTGACTGTATATATATATTCCATTTTTGATGGATTACTTATTTTTAATTTTTTTTACTGTGTACCTATATTTAATTTTTATGCAGACATACTTAAATTAATATTCAAGTATAACTTTGTTTATTATTTACTTAATTACTTATATTAGTATGAGTGTACTACAGTACTTATTTTCAGGGTAACACAATATAAAAATAATTATAGATTTATTGATATAACTTTTTACAAAGTTCTTTATTCATCTAAACAATGTAATCCCACAAAAAAACAATACGAGAAAGCATAATTTATTATTTATTAAAAAGACTTCTAGTGAGCAGTTAAAAAACATTTGAACCTCTTTATTCTCATAACTAGATAATATTTAATTCAATAACCATTTAAAAATTTGATTATGAGTTATGACTATTATCACGAAACATTTAAAATCAATAAAATATTCCAATTCGTTCAAGTTTACTAAATGAACGCGATGGTACCTATGATATTATGAGTCATATTTGATATTATGAGTCAATTTATGACTGATATGACCAGATCTTTATTTTACACAATAGTCGTTATATTTATAATACGTTCATCATTCAATGAACGAGAATCGTATGATAAGATTGGATCTTTGTTTAATGCAATAGACGTTATGTTTATAATACGTTCGTCGTTCAACGAACGAAATGAACGAAATGAACGAATCATATGAACGGGTCTTTTCAATGACCCGATCCAAACGACCCGTATTGCCCATCTTTAGTCGACGTACCGCGGCCGTACGAAAAACGTTTCTGAGGATAGTTGGTCACATAATACTATATCTCCTGTGTAGCACGTGTAGTACGTCAAAGTACAGTTGTCAAAAGTGCTACCTACAAATTTACCATGTTCACGGTGGGCCTGATCGGAGTCGCAGTATTGCCGACCTGCCTATTTTATAGCTAAATCTAGCTTTTTTGAATCGACGTCTAGCTATGAAAATATTGATCTAGCAGGTAGGTAGCTATTTAAATGGCATTTTCTGCAGAATTAATACAGGCAATATAGCTATTTTAGCTTTTTCTTAAAAAACAGATTTTTTTATTATAACAAAGGCACACTATATTTTGATTATAAATAATTTAACAATTTTTTATCACCACGGTTGTATACTATGTACCAAATAAGAGAGCACCGGGTGGCGCACGAAAACCGGTCGAAACTCGCGCATAACAGAGAGCGCTACCGCAGCGTTTGGCAGGTGGCAGCTGCGGCCGGGTCGAGTGTCAGCGGCGAACACGGCCGGAAAGGTAATACTAGTAAGCTAGGAAGCTAGTAATAATAGCTTCGTGTAAACAGAACTAGCTTTGATTTTAAGCTAGCAAGTTAGGGAATATTTTAATAAGCTAGCGTGTCAAGCCAGGCTAGTTTAATAGGATTGCGTTCTATTTTTTTTGAGCTAGCACACCTCCCACCACTGAATTTACTATCCTAGCTAGTGTTCTATCTCCGTGTGGACGGCAAAGCTAGTACATGATCGGCTAGTGCATTGTTCAAGCTTATTTTTATTACGCCACATGGTTTGTTAAATGTGAATCGGTATTGTTGTTGTAGGTTTTTTTGTACGTCAAAATGCCAAAATTAAATGGTGATGTTAATTTAAAGTTGGTTGAATTATATCGCGAAGAAGAATGTCTATGGAATGCCAGTATTTCATCTTATAAAAATAAATCTATGCGTGATTCATGACTACAAAAAATATTTGCAGAGTTGAATACAATCGGCTCACAAATGACTGTTAATGAAGTAAAAAATAAAATTTAAAATTTAAGAGCAACATACTGCCAAATGTTGTCAAAAATTGAAAAATCAACCAGGTCCGGTGCAGGTGCTAATGAGGAGTATAAGCCTAAATTGAGTTGGTTCGAGGTAATGCATAGTTTTATAAAAAATGTTCCAATGAAAAAAAAAACAACCGTAAGTTATATTTATTTTGTAAATAATTAATAAAATAAATTAAACTACCTATTTAATTATTAATTCATTTATTATTATTGAATATTATTATTCTTAATAATAAATATTATTTACAATATTATTAATGAATCATATTTTCTTGCCATGGCACCGCACCCTCGTTGTTAAAATAGTCTTTAATGGTTCCCCTTTTTTGGACTTCTGAAATCAAAGGATGGTTACTTCCTTGTCGACATAAATTTTCTAAGACTGTAGTTTCTGTTCTCCATGCACCATGAATAATATTTCTTGCCTCAATATCTTCATGGTCGACATCACAGTACGTTATATAATTATTTCGTTTTTCTTTTCGTAACCAATATGCAAAGCACATGCTGCTAATACAATTTTATCCACTGTATTCACATCAGTAGCGATAGGTTTTTGAAAAATACGAAATCGGCTTCCTAATATTCCAAAAGCATTTTCAACTATTCTCCTAGCTCTGAATAGTCGATAGTTGAAAACTTTCTGTGCCAATGTTAAATTGTCACCTGGGTAAGGTTTCATCATATATGGTTTTAACGAAAATGCACCATCAGCAACAATCACTCCACCATTTGGTAGAAGATTATTATCTTGTTTATTATAAATAGAGCAATTTCTAAATGCACTTGCACCGACATCAATATATCGGAAACAATAATCGTCATCTACTATTGCCATAAGAACAATAGTGAATACTTTTTTGTAATTAAAATATATACTGCCACTGTTGTCGGGAGCTACAGCCTACAATTTGTATATGTTTTCCGTCAATGGCGAAATAACATGGTGGAAAGTTCCATCTGTTTTTAAATCCATTTTCTATTTCCGCCAATTCATCGTTGTTGGTCGGGAGCTGTAAATATTACAATTAATGAAATCCAAAGTAAAATAATGTATATTATCGAATATATATATATTAATATTTATTTTTTATATTGTGTGTGTATGTTTATACTTCAATGAAGAAAATTTTTTTTAAAAAATTTAGGACAGTCGAGAGTTAGAAAAAATTTATGAAATTTTAGATAACAGTGAAGCCAATATTAATAGTGAAGATAATATTGACAATAATGAGGGCAATGGAAATATTGAAGACAATATTGATACAAGCGAAAGTATTTTAAATTTAAAAAATTTGAATGCACAACCATCTACATTTTCATCTTCTTATAAGAGGCCCTCTATACCTACATCTGTACCTACTCCGAAAAGAAAAAATTGCACAAGTGATATCATTAGTAAATGAAATAAGGTCAATTAAAGACGATTTAAAAAATATACCAGAATACGAAAATGAACATGACATTTTTGGAAAATTCGTAGCAAGTCAACTCAAACATTTATCTCTTACACAGTGTATTATGACTCGTGATCAAATCAATGCTGTATTATCTCGTTGAAGATTGCAAGATTTAAACTATGGTAACACGACTTTTTCATTTCAGACACCTTTTTACAACTCTTCAGACTCCAACATGACATCAAACAGTGTACCAGCATCACAAACAGAGAGTTCAATTTTGTCAACAACTGAATATCAAGATAATTCTAAACAAGAAAATAAAATAAATGATATGAACTACGATTACTCCTATAATCCTATAATGAGAGCATTTAACGATGCATAATTATTTTAATAATATGTATAATTAGTAATAACTAATTAATAATTGAATGATTAATATTTAAAAATAAATTGAATAATGTAAACAGTAAATGATAATAAAGACTTAATAAAAGTATAAAGTAAATGCAAACATTAATGTTTTCTTTTAATGCCTTGTAAATTTCGACACATACCTCAGGTATAACTTTACATATTGAAGATATTGAAACTCTGTAAAAGTGACCGAGTTTCCTGTAATTGATGCCAGACGAAAGAAAATCTAAAGTGATCTCTAACTTTACTTTTGCTGGTATGGCCTCTCTCATTATAGTATTCATACGTTGCATTTTTGGAGCCACACAACTTAATAGGATATCGAAAATATCTGGCGACATTCTCAGAATACTCTTGAATTCACCTATATCTTCACAGCGAAGTTCTTCTAAAAGTGATGCAGATGATCCACGTTCTTTCCTTCTTAAAATCCACGGTCTTGTCCAAATACGTTTTTCTAGCAACACTTTTAAATAGTCTAATGCAATGTCACATAGTTAACGAAGCAGCTGTTTTATTCTTATTACATTATTCTTTTTTCGAATGCGGTTCATTTTTATTTATTTTCACTAAATTCAACTTTACAAATTTTTAATAGTGCCCCGAATTCGCCCGAAGTGAAGTTCTCGAGTATACTAAACTGTAAAAAACTGTTTATAATACAATTTTTCCTAACATCGTATTAACTATTCTAGCTTCTTCCAAGCCAGGATAGGCGTTGGGAATAGCTAGCTTGCTATCCTAGCTTGAAGAACTAGCCTCGTGTATTCCGGGTATAAAGGCGATCGATGAAAGAGCGAATAGACCCAACCAGTGGTCCGGACGTAACTCCAACTCCCTAATTCCACGATTCATTTGGATGGCGCACCAACGAGGTGCGCTCTTTTTCGGTACAGAGTATAGATATTCAATCGTGCTTATTAGAACCATTTTCTCTCATAATCCACGATTTCACGAGTTAAGATAATATTTTAAATTTTAATCATAACACGGACTCATAGATAAGTATAATAATATAATAGATAGGCAACTCCTAAAACCGAACAGTATAAAAAGCGCTCCTGGTGGTCGCGAAGTTTAACTAACCTGTGTTGGTGAACAATCGATAGTGCTATCGATAATTTTAACGTTAATTGCTTTTCATTACTATTATCATTGATTATAAATACTATTGATTGCTCACTGGCCGTGTTTTCGGCGGCGTGGTAATAATCGGGTGCCGCTACAAGGCGCTACAAGGCGCTTGGCTAGTTAGATCGGATAACGTTGTAAATCAGTATTCAGATACAAACCGTTCAGCGACGAGTTCAGACCAGCTCATTTCGCCCGAAATTTGTTCACATAAAAAACTTTTACCTGAAATTCGATTACCTACTCTTTTGTGAACATTTAAAATACTTTTGAAATACGTTGAAACTAATAACACAAAACTTGTAGCAAAATGAATAAACTAGAAGGACTTCTTAAACCATGACTAAAATATTTTCATCAACATATTTAAAAATAAAATATTTACAAAATAAAAAAAAAATTGGTACTTGTGCGTTATCGCGCCTACCGCTGACTCATCGCGACTACCTTGATTTCACTTGTGCATTATCGCGATTACCTTGATTTCAAACGCAACATATTTTTAATACGTTTATAATAATACAAAACTACCCAAAGCTAATGTCAGGGGTACGACACTCCGTGAATTGGTCGGATCGGGAGATTGTGGCCTTGAAAATGGTCTCTAAAGGGGCGTGGCATACGTTACAGTAAACAGTGGAAACAATTTTTCAATGCTGGAAACAACCCGACCCGCGCAGAATACCCTGCCTATTAATCGGAGACGGTTTTTCAATACGAGTATAACATCATGTTGGTAAACGGAAACAGTTTGAATGTTCGGACTTCAGATCATAGGTAAACACTTCACCCATCAGCTGATCGAGTGTCGCTTCTATATTGTTCTATGCTAATGTCAATGTATTTATTGATAATATGATAATAATTGTAAAATATAATACGCTCGGATAGCATGACGTCATATTCGTTATCAACGCTTATCAGTTTTTGTAACTGGATCCAAACAATATTATGTTGTGTTAAAATTGTTAAGGGTACATTTAATAATTAATATGTATGTACTACTGTAGTATGTAAGTCGTTACTCTTTAAACTCTCTACCGTTTAGGTTTTGGCCCTTAGTCTATTATTTAGCACAATAATTTATTTACGGTTTATATTATATAATAAGCTTGGATATTTTAGTGTTTAGTATATTATTTCTTAAACGTTATGGCTGGAAATCATATTTTATCAATTTCGTCGATTTCTTAGTATTTTAAAGATAATATAAAACAATTAAAAAGGGGAGAAATAGCGTATAAAGATGGTCATGTCTTAAAAATTCAAGCAGATCTTGAATCAAATATAATTGTTGGAGAAATCAAGCCTAGTATGCGGAATGATAAGTACAAGGTAAAATTATTGTTGAATGACTGTTGTATTGTTGACGCTGAGTGTACATGTCCTCGTGGAAAAGTAGTTTGCCACCATATAGCTGCGTTAGCACTATACACGCACTATAATCTTAGTTCCACAGATCAAAGTTGTTCTTGGAATGTTAGGAAAAATATACCATGTAATGAAGTAAAAACTATTGATGAAATGTATGGTCGTTTTGAAAGTCCTGCTACTAATGTCGCAGATGAAGATTTTGCTAATTTTAAAAAAACTTTAGATAATTTAACTGTGCCTGTAGGTTTTTCGTGGTTGTTAAGGCCTGAACCAGAACTAGAACTAAACAAATGTCAAGCTATTAAATTGAATTCTATTGAGAGTACAATAAATACTGATGTTTGTAAACAGTTTGTAAAATCTAAGCAATTTGATGCAGTTAGAACTTATATATTTGACAAATGTTTTATAACTGATGACATTATTTTGAAAATTGCTGAAGAATCTATAATTCAGAGCAAAAGTGAAATGTGGCATTACCACCGAAAGAACAGATTAACCGCTAGTCATTTTGGTCACATCTTCTTGCAAAAAACAAAAATTTTCAAAATCTTTCTTCAAGTCACTACAAAATGATACTAATTTAAGTGGTATTCATGCTATTTAATGGGGATTGACAAATGAAATATCAGGCATCAAAGTTTTAGAGCAAGAACAAAATGTTAAAGTTATATCTACTGGGTTATGGTTATTAAATAATGGAGTTTTAGGAGCATCTCCCGATGGCTTTGTAAATTCTGAGTACATTGTAGAGGTAAAATGTCCATGGAAGTACCGGAATAAAAGTTTAGATGTTGAGCTTGCCAAAGAACTCAGTTACATAGTATATATAAAAAACAAAATTATTTACATTAACAAAAAACACTTTCATTCGGATCAAATTCAATGGCAACTATATATAACTAAACGAAAGTTATGTTACCTAGTAATTTGGACGCCAAGTCAATCAATAATTACCGAAGTAGAAAAGGATCCAGAATGGTTTCCAAATCTTAAAATATTAGAAAATTTTTTTATTGAGACTTACATTCCTTTTCTTATTGAAGAACAATTTAGTACATAATTTTTTAACATATTAATTAATCGTACTTAAAGTTATATATTTACAGGATAATTTAGTATTTACAATTACATTAAAATATGTTATATAAAATGTATTAAACAAATAAATAGTTAAGTTACAAAATGTCAATTAATAATATTATTTTATTATAAAATAAAATATTTTGAACATGTGGTTTTAGACTAGAACTAACTTGGATTTACCATTTTGTTTTCAACTTCATGAATAAGTTTGTGTTGAAGATTTGTTAGCGCAGCAACAACTTGAAAAATTGGCTCCGCTTGCTTCAACATTGTAGAGGGAATACAATTTAAAATTGCAGAACATTTTATTCTTTGTATGGCCATTTCTATATGAATTCTTGCCTTAGCTATGATTTCAGTTTATAATACTTGTTGAGGTGTGAACTGAGGAGTGTCTAGAAAAGGTGGTAGATTTAAAGATACTCCAGGTGGTAAAATGTCTCTGATTAGGAAACCTTTGTCAGCTAAAATTAGGTCTCCCTGTACTAACTGCTCTATAAGTGCTCTTTTCAATGTAATCACTTTGTCAGACGTAGAACCAGGAAATAAGCTACTTACAAAAGTAACTACACCATTAGGTGCAATTCCTATAAGAACCTTCCACGTGTTTCTATGCTTATAACTACTATATGTATCTCTTTGAATATTCATAGATTGTCGAAACACTGATGTGAAAATTTGTGTGCAGTCTATTACAATTCGACAATTCATAAAAGGCTTAAAAGAATCAGGTAAACAAGTTTGATTCTTTTGTCTTGAAGGTATTTTATTTAAAGTATTTTATTCATACACTTCAAGAAAAGTACATTATGTAAAATGTTAATCCATGTGATGCTAATGTTAGTAATAGTACTCCTACTGCACTTAAATCTAGTAGCCAAATCAAAATATGGGAAATTATGCCTTAATTTCATTAGAGTTATAAGAAGTTGGTCTGTTTTACTTATACTCTCAAATTTCCAACCAAAGTGGTAATGGAGTTTTGAATTTTTTAACAAATTATAAAGAGCCATAAAAATGTCATTTGTAGGCAAACCTGTCTAAGACTGTAATAATTCATTATTTTGACTTAAGTTTTCATAGTTAAATGAAAGATTCAATTGTTTTAATTTTAATTTCATGGTTTTGTTTTCTTCCTTGAGAAAATAGTTCTCAGGTTCATGAATAATTGAAGCTATGTTTGAAGAATTAACTGAGTCTGTGCTAAAATTACAAAATATATACAATTTAATATAATACTATATTTATTATTTATTTTGATTATTATTAGTGACATTATATGTGTTTTATTTGTACTGTTGTTATAATTATTCAGGTTGTACTTAATAAAAATGATATCGTTTGATTACAGTTTCTGAACTATATTTTAAATTATAAAGACAGACATCAAACACAACATTTTAATAGAAAAAACACATTTTAGTAATTAATAACAGATTGATATAAAACTTAAAGACGACCCTACGTTGTCACCTATAACATTGACAACTGCGTGTCAGCGACAGAACATGATAGTGTGTGGGTACAGTCGTACCACATTCAACATTATAAGAATAATAATAATACGTTATATCACAATATGAATATTAATTTGACATACTCAATAGTTTACTATACACTGTGATCTTTGAAACCACAAATAAACTACAAATAAAAAATAAATAAAATATTTTCTCATACATAATAACAATAATACACAGCCTACAAAAATGCCAAAAAACAAACTAATACGCGGGCAACGCCGTGTCTGGACAGCTAGTACTATTATATATTTACCAAATAATTGATTTTGATGCAGTGGACAAATCTAATGGAATTTCATTGGCAACTAACTCATTCACAACCAGTTGATCATCACATTGAATTATTTGTTTAGATAATTTTTTTCTTGTTTTCTTTTCTGGAGTTAAATGATGTAAGTTAAAATGACAACTACAAACCCTAGCGCCAGATTTTGGTTCATCAGTTCTTCTAAATTAAACATATTTAGTTAAAACCATACATAAATAAAAAAAAATATTTCAGTTTAATATCTTATCATCCGTATGTAAGCATAGCAAAGTTAAAAGTTTTTAAGTAACAAAGAGGAAACCTGAGCAATCTAAGCGTTTCTTAATTTTAGGATCTTTAGGTATTCTAAAAAATTTACAGATATTTCGTTCATTGTAATGCTTACAGCCATAAACCCAGCACATAACCATTTCACTAAAATACATATAAAAAGCATAACAAAATAAAATAGCTATAATTCTATTAGCAGCAAGCAACTATTTATTTATTTTTCAATTTTTAATATTATTTTAAATGATTGTGAGGATAAAAATAAATAAACAGATTCTGTATTTACCTGTATTGTAGTTTAAAAGTAAGTATAGGTATTTTAAAAAAACTTTATTACACATCCAAAAAAAAAAAGTGTATTACTTTATATGGTTATAGAAATTTGTTTGGATCCAAAACATAAATACTGATATGAGTGATAACACGCATGACATCATTGCTATCCGAGCGTATAATAATATGTCAAATCTAATAAAATAAAATATGTGATCATAAAATATGTCAAATTTATACGTCAAATATACAATTACGAGTAAAATTTATAAAATATAAAATATAAAATTTAAAAGTCAATTTGTGGTGGCCAATGATTTGCAATACTATTAAGTAAAACTTTGAACTTATCTTCATTATGATAAGTATTCCTCCACATACACTCTGCCAATTAAGATTCTAAATGGTGTCGCGCTGTACCTCTAAGACGTTTATTTCTCCATTTCGCCGATCCTCAAAGTCTTTCTATTCCTTGTGTTTGAGCATGTGTACTTGGATCAACGAAATTATAAGAATGATTCACTGTAAAATGCTCATAGCCATTATCTTGTATTGCGTTATATGCCCTCCAGCAATCAGAGTAAATTATCGTCCCTTTCTCTATGTATGATGTATTTTTGACATCAAAGTAGCAGAAGACCGATCAGGAACTTCTACTAAAAATACCTCTTTTGTTTCACGGCATATTCCGCCGAAAATCCATTGCTGGGGAAGTACTCTTCCACAATTATTTTTACGTTTAGTGAACAAACTTTCTTCAATTTCCACTATTTTTCTTTTCCTCCAATTTTTTTTTCTCTTTCTCTCAAAGTTATAACACATACTTCCCGTAAATAATTATTCCAATCATTTACCGTATTATTGCTAAGTTGTAAGTGTTTTTCACAAAATTTTACTGAAGTCATTTCCTCTGTCCAACAAAACATGAAACATAAAGCTTGCACAAATGATATGTGACTATTCACAAACCAATTGGCAACACGCATGTTAACTTTTTGCTGACAACTTTTCACATTGCACTTCCAAAATACTTGTTTCCCAAAATAGAGTTTCGCTTTGTGGCCGTTCGAACAGATTCGTTGATGTGGTAAAATGCCTTTTTCTTGAAAAAAAGCTACAGCATCTTTTTCCGTAGTTGGTAAGTTCCACAGATCCATTGCCAAATAATCGAAATGTACAAGTTATTACGTACTACCAGCGTGACAGCGTGGTTTTAACTAAATTTACTAAGTGTCCTAAAAGTTACCCAGCTAGTAGGTATATAAAAATTGCGATAAGTGCGATTGTAACGACACTGGAAAAAATAGAATCGCATATTTCGCATATAAAACGGCCTTGCAATAACCCATAATATGAGGTAGTCGCGATAACTCACAAGTACCAAAAAATTAATTAGACTCATTCAAATGTTTTTTTGATTTTACGACTTTGCAATTTGTACACTGGAAATAGTAAATACATCATAAACCTGCAAAATAAATACATTTTTTTACTGTTATTGACTTATATTACCACTGTGGCACTGTACTTACGCCTGTGACCAGTGACCACTTTTAAAGGTCCATTCACACATATCAGTCACGAGACAGTTACGTATCCGATCAGAGACAGTCACGTCACCGACGTTTTTGACTGATCAGTCAAGTGTATTTCACACATATCAGTCGCCGAGACCGGTCAGTTTCGAGAAATCGGGTGTCATGTTGAGTAAACACGCGTTCACACATAACCTTTTTTTAAAAATATTTTTTGTTTATTTAATATAATAATATTAAAATAATACTACGCAATACTACAACGTGAATATGGCAAACTTCACTGACGAAGAATTGTGTATCATTGCAATCATTTTGGACGAGGAAACCGAAGAAGAGAAGACTCCAAAGAGACGAAAGTGGGTGCATGAAGCATGGCAAAAAAAAGACAGTGAAGGAGAGTTCTTGACACTGTATAAGGAACTGATTGAAGATGGAACTAAATTTTATCAATATTTCAGAATGTCTGAATATTGTTTTAATACGTTACTTGAGAAATTGTATGTATATTTAAAAAAAAAAAGATACACATTGGAGAAAAGCTATAACACCAAAGGAACGGTTAGCAGTTTGCCTCAGGTATGCTATAAAATTACTTATAAATAAAAAATAAAAATTATAAACTAATATATAATAGTATAATATTTATTATAGAAAAAATTAAGTATTCTCATCAGATTGATAATTTTGATAATAATTTTGTAAGTTGTGGAATGATGCTGAAGTTATATTTTGATCTGGTGGAATGGGTTCGTTAAAATCTTCACAGGGCGATGGTAGTGGCGTGACTGATGTCGTTGATAATGTAGTTGATGAATTTGTACTTAATATTTGTTGTAGTTCATATTTTTGAACAATAGCAAAAATTTCTGACTTTGCCAAGTTCAAATTGTATGAAGAAAATGTTTTTAGAGATGGAGCTATACCAGTTAAAAACGCATCGACTGGATGTTGCGAACATGTGGAAATTTGACTTTCTTCTTTTTTTTTACTTATTAAATAGTCCATTAATCTTGCAGAAGCGGTTGGCTGAGAAACCGAAGTTTTCGAAAATTTTTGTTTTGTTGTTTTTATCGGAACATGAATTTCATTGGTTTGTACCGGAGTGGGAGATGGCTGACTTTGTAAATCTTCTTCAGGTAGCTGTTCCTCTGAATCTGGCTGCATATTTTCTTCCTGTTCTTGGTCATTTTCATATTCAATATTTGTTTTGGATTTTCTTTCCTCAAAATATTTGTTTATGAAACTTAGTTGATCTGCAAATTTATAAGTTTTTATTTTTTTGGCAGCATTCTGTCCACTTTTTGTTACAGTTTTTTTTAACGATTTTCTGTATGTGTCGAATATTATTCCACCTTGCTTTACATGCAGCAACTAAAAAGGCAAAAAAATTACAAAATTGTATTCGAATAATATTTAAAAAAATCGGTAACTCGCTCTACTATATAGCAGGGGTGGAGTGGACCTCTGTGATAGAGTAGGTCATTATAATGAATGGGTTGAATTTGAATTCCGATAAGTACAACTTATGTGAAACCTTGTATTAAATCAAGAATTGTTGGCCGGCCAATTAACGACTACGACTAATAATGATTTTAATAATATTGATCAACAAAAATAACAAAAAAATTTAACAAATCATAAAATAAATTTAAACTGTTATTGGAAACCAAACTAATTGTCATTAAATAATTTTAATATTTTTTTTTTTTTAGATATTTAGCGACGGGGGATTCTCTACAGACAATTTCCTTCAGTTACCGTTTGGGACATAGCACAGTACAAACAATTGTAAACGATACTTGTAAGATTATATGTGACTATCTGTTGGCTGAAATGATGCCAAATCCAACGGAAGATATGTGGATATCTATTGCCAATGACTACAATAAAATTTGGAACTTCCCAAATTGCGTAGGTGCTTTAGATGGCAAACATGTCAACATTCAAGCTCCTCCAAATAGTGGGTCGTTGTACTTTAATTACAAGAAGACGTTCTCAGTAGTCTTAATGGCTCTTGTTGATGCTAAGTACAATTTTATTGCAGTTGACGTTGGTGCATACGGAAAAAAGTAGCGATGGGGGAATTTTTACACATTCTAATTTAGGTAAAGCTATTGAGCAAGATAAACTACGAATACCACGAAGTGTAAAGTTACCTAACACATCTATTGAAGTTCCATATTATATTGTTATTGTAGGGGACGAAGCATTCCCCTTAAAAACATATTTATAGCGACCCTACCCACGACAAGATTTGGATGTTTCTAAACGTATTTTCAATTACCGTTTAAGCCGTGCTAGAAGAGTGGTTGAAAATACATTTGGAATATTATCTCAAAAATTTCGAATTTACAATAGGAGAATTCAAGCAACGCCGAAAAATGTGGATAGCATAATACTGGCGACCTGTATATTGCATAACTTTATTAAAAAAATATGATACCAACACTTACAGTTACGAAAGGAATGAAACTTACATTAATGGACCTAATGATAAAGGACTAGAAAACTTACCTATGCAAGGTGGTAATGCTACAAAGGATGCCTTTTATGTACGAGAAAAATTTAAGGATTATTTTAATTCAGAAGTTGGATCTGTATCGTGGCAAGAAAGTATAATTTAATATAAATTATATCGAATTTAATTATTTTATTAGGTATGATATTATATTGTAAAAAAATAAAATATAAGTTTTTTATTTACTGTCACACACTGTTATCAGCTAGGTATATCTTAATAAATTAAATAACAAATATGAATTAACTATGGTATTAAATAATTCGTATTATCACTACCTACTATCGGTACAAATCGAGCGACGGTGCATTGTTGATGTTATATTTTTAGAAGAGTTTTATTATCGGCTATATTTATAACCCTATCAATTATTTGGTTTGGCCAGTTAATTTAACATTTATAAAATACCCATACTACCTATGTATAGATCAAAATACGTCTAGATTCTAGACGTACACCCCCCTGAATACGGCCATGGGCATATCGTAAATGAGAAATAATTTTTTGCCACATATTTCAGTTGAAGGATTATTTTGAGATGCATCTAGCGACGAAAACATCCGACGGTTTTGTGTCCCTTGGTCATATACAATGCAAGTTGGCAATAAACCAATATCCATAATTTTTAACAATTTCGACTAAAGTATCACCTTTAACTCCACTGCCAGTAAAAAAATATGATAAAGGCAATTTCCAATTTTTGTAAAGACCACGAACCATAATTACTAACGGGTGAGAACCAAGTTTTTCAGTACGTCCCATATCACTTAAATCTTCAAACCCTTCTATTTCGTCTAAAATCTTGTTATATTCCAAAGTTTTCATTATAGAAACTTCATCTAACAGAAGAACACATTTCTTTTCGTTATAATCCATATTTAAAACTTTTAATCTTATTTGTTCTAAATATTTGGCCGAAAATCCAGTGGAATAGTTAATCGACCGTAGCCAACGTGTCACTGTACTTATAACCGGCAATACAATTCCAGTCCTTCACATGTATTTATAAGTCGAAGATGACTTATAATATAATGATAGTGTAACTTTTTTTTCATTACCTGACCAGGGTTTACGATTCTTGTGTAACAATTGCATTGATACTAAACTTCTTGAGTTTTTAGATGGAAAATTAAATGTTTTAAATAAATCATTCACATTAGATTTCTGTTTTTTGTTTGTTTTTTTCTGTTTTAATGCCGAAATTATAGAACGTTTTCTTCTTAAAAGTTTTCGAATCGTAATTAACTCTTGTTGAAGTTTTTTTTGGGCTTATTATTTGTCTCATTTTTGGCATAGGACTGGGGAAATCGATTAGTGCTGAGACCCAAGATTTAGTTGTAGCTATTGAACTCGATGGACTGTTTTCAAAAATTAGTGAAGCAGGTGCATTATAAAAATAATATTTTTATTTATGGAATAATATTTCAATTTACAAAATATATATGATGATTGATGATTATGACTATACTATAATATAGTAAATATTATGTGTAAATGCGTAATGTATTAATGTGTTTTAATGTAACTTGACATACTAATATACTAATATACATACTATAAACATAAATATGACCATGCAATAACTAATTAATATTTTTAATAATTAGGGACTAATTTAAAGATATATATTTAACCTATTTAATTGGGGGGGAGGGGGTGTCACCGTTTTACTTACAACTTACATTGAAAAGTGAAGACTATAAACAAACATTCATTTTTACTTTGACAAAGGTAATAATAATACTAATATTTAGTATCAATGGTAATAATCAAAAGTTAAATCATTTTATTTTATTATTTTTTCAAGCAGTTGTAGGAAATGATTTTCATCAAAAAATCACATTTCTGGATACAACCATATTTAATTAAATTTTTAAGTTCTGTTGTTATGATTGTAAATTGTAAAGAAAACTGTACTACTAGCCGAAATGGAAAGGGTAAATTTTGGCCAAAAAAGAGGCCACCCATCTAGGATTATATTATTATTGATAGATATTTAATATTTATTATTTTGTTACCGTTGGCAGTGAGCCAGTGCAACGACAAGTTAGGTACCAAGTTTACAGTATAGTATTATACGAGTATTGTCTTTGTAGACGCTCCGAGAATTGAAACCAAGATAGGTCAATATGTACGTCTGTCTCTACAGTGGAAAATTCAAGACTAATCTCTACTCCTATGAACTATACTAGCGATTATTGCGGTACATGCCATAACTAAATCCCAACTGATTTTTTGATATTAACAGCCCATGCAGTGTTCCAGGTTTGGGGAAAAATCTCCAAATCTGGGGAAATTCGGAGTACCTGGGGATTTGGGGCGAAGCTTTTATAAATCTCGATAAAATGGGGATAAATTTGAAATTTAATAAACAGAATTTATCTTACCTACTTTAAATGATTTAAATCTTGAATTCCAGTCTGAACTTCCTAAAATATATCTTCTATATGATCGTATATGATGGCAAATGCTTATAAATTTATTCTCCAATGCTATATAAAATCAAGTGAATTAAATAATACTGACATTTCGCTATTACAGTACCGTAACCCTTGCAATTTCTTACCAGATGACCAAATATATTTAGGACCAAAAGTAGTTATAGCCATTTCACAAAATATTTTTAATTCTTCAGATAAAAAGCAGTTTGTAAAGTGTTGTCTTGATATTTATTTGGAATGTGCCCACCAACTTTATCTTCGTTTTCCATTTAAAAGTAAATATGTTCTTGGATTAAAACATTTATCTTTTTTAGACCCAAAAAAATATCTAATGTACAATCATTAGGAATTGTTGCTTCTTATTTTTCAAACTTTGTTGAGAATGTCAATGAATTAGACAGAGAATGGCGCCTACTGATCTCAAGTGATATAGACATTAATTTGAGTGCAAATGAATTTTGGGTCAAATATCTTAAGCAAGTTAAGGGTGATAACACTCCACTTTATCCACAGCTATCTAATTTTGTCACAAATTTTTTAACTCTTGCACACATTAGTGCTTGCGTGAAACGAGTATTTAGTGCAATAAATAATAATAAGACAAAAACAAGAAATAGGTTATCCTCTGAAAAATTACAGGGTATACTACATACAAAACAATTAATTTCTGATCAAAATAAAAATTGCTATGACTTTAATGTTACAGACGAACTATTAAAGTTACATTCTAACAATATGTATTCCTAGGTATTTATTTGTATGCATAGGTACATGTTATAAATATACAGCATTAATTAATTACAAGTTTTTATATAAGTAGATATTATCAACTTTATTAGTTGTTAATTATAAATTGTTATTTGTTAATATAAAAGTAATTATCTTCTTTTATATTTTAGAATTATACATAATTAATGTGAACAAAAAGAACTGACATTTATTTTTATGATATGATTTCATTTATATTCTTTGTTTTATGAGTATTGAACACTTACTTGATAAATTGTTTTTATATATTAAGATTTATTTGTTAGTAAAAAAGTTAATGCTTTTATATATTTTATCATTTTACAAAAGTCAAAATGTAAACAAAAAGGACTGACATTAGTTTGTAAATTTGCATATGGTATCATTTATATTGTTTGTTACTCGAGTGTTGCTAGTTTTTATAAATTTATATTTGTTAATATAAAAGTAATTATTTTATATTTTAGAATCATGTGATCAAAAAGGACTGACATTTATTTTTTTGGTATGATTTCATTTATATTGTTTGTTTTATAAGTACTCAACTCTTACTTAAATAAATTGTGCTTTATTTATTTTATATGTCTAGCTGATCCCGTGCACTTCGTCGCCCGTTAAATGGATCAACTCAATACTACCTACTCAAACTTTGTTCAATTCATTAACGTGTATGGTGTTCAAAATTTATCTTATCTTTCCCGTTGCCCTGAATAAAAATTCTGAATCGCGGCAGTACATTATCAGGTAGGCAATCTACCTGCGGTAGATCGCGGACCCCGTGCTGTTTGTACGGAAGTGTATGATTTAACTCTAAAGTATCAAAGTTATACCAAGTTTATTTTGATGTAATACTGTGGATTAATATAATAAATTTGGTTGCTCGTAAAAAATCGCAACTCTTAAAAAAATTATGATTGTTGAACTCCTTTTGGGTGTAATTTTCTGCGGTAAGTGCAACTCTGCCACCCTGGTAAGCATTGTTCAATAATTCGATTTGATGCAAGCTTGTACCTGATCTGCCCGAATAACCAATGGCAACCAATAAATAAATGCTAATTTCTAATGTAGACCGTAACTAATGGCAACTATAAATAAATAAAAATAAAATTTCCAATTTCTATCGTGAATCTCAATGTCCCTGTTTCAGCACCTATTTAAAATGCGAATTTTGGCAAATCCTTTCTTAGCGCACGTCTATATTATAATAGCTATCTGTATGCCAAATTTCAGCCAGATCCGTCCAATGGTTTGAGCTGTGCGTTGATAGCAGTCAATCAGCTTACTGTTTTTTATATACAGATATGGTTGCCATGGTAATATGGACCCACACACACACACTGACATACATTCATTTTTATATATATATAGATTGATATGAAATCTTGGTAACCTTAGTAACCATGGCAACCTTGGTAACCATGGTAACATGGACACACAGACACACACACTGACATACATTCATTTTTATATATATAGATTTATTTGTTGGAATAAAAGTTTATGCTGTTATAACTTAACAAAATGTGAAAAAAGGACTAATTTTTTGTTATATTTATTTTAAAATTAATTATTATGTACGAGGTCTGGCTATTAAATAACGAGACTGGTTACGAAAAAGGGTTTTATTATAAAAATTATTCTACATTCGAATGCTCCCCTTCAATATACTCCCCTCCCCTCGCAACACACCTTTCCATACGTTTTTTCCATTGATCGAAACAATGCTGGAAGTCTTCTTTGGTGAGGGCCTTTAGGAGCTCTGCCGTTTTTTGCTTTACCGCTTCCGTCGACTCAAATCGGGTCCTTTTCAAAGCAGATTTTATCTTTGGAAATAAAAAAAAGTCGCACGGTGCCAAATCTGGTGAGTACGGCGCGTGTTCGAGCACTGGAATGCGCTTACTAGAGATGTGTCAACGGATCGTTTTGAACGGGTCACTCTATTGAACGAGTCGACCCGGGTATGGAAAAAAAAAAAGGTCGTTCCCTCGTTCATCGTTCATTTTTTTTCGTTGTTATTGTGGTTTCACTGTGGCGAGTCGGTCACCCGGACTCGGGTGACAAAACGGTTCATTTGAACGATTCGGGTTGAGAATTGAATAGAATAATTACTTAAAAATAATTATTATTTGGTAAATATTTTTAATTTTGAAGTAATAGTATCAAAAACGACAAAAATGTACATAATTTTTCATATTTTACATTTAAAACAATGTATTTACAATATAATTTTCGTAGGTTCAGACTTCAGATCAGCTGATCGAGTGTCGCTTCTATATTGTTCTATGGTACAAGTGGTGTCACCTTATCTTCTCTACATCGTGATTATAGCTAATTTCTTATTTTCTTATATTAAAATTCATAGTAAATAGTAATTAATAATTAGTTAGGTTAACAACAAATAGTCACATTATAATATATAGTCATCATATCTTTTTAGAATCAAGTCGACGTCTGAGGTCAGTGAAAAAAATTATTGTACAATTATTTACATATTATGATTTAAAAATAAAATTTGTGATATCTTTTTAGATTCCAGTCTACTTCTGCGGTCAGTGACCACTTGTCCGGCTTTTGAAAATAGCCTTTCACAGGGCACTGATGTTGCCATTAAACATAGACGTCGTTTTACAAGTTCGTACATCCGTGGATAAATTTTTTTTCTTTCAGACCACCAAAGTAACGGATTATCATGTCTATTGATTAATGCTTCGTTTAAATATTTGTCCAGTTCTATTATCCCAGCTGCACCTGTATTATGTCCACCAATAACATTCGTGACAGTTTGATCAAACTCTTTCCATATGTCAGAGCTTTCATTTGGAATTGGTGCTGTCGAAGAAGCTGATGTTTGCTGTGGAAGTGCATCTTGTACGGTCCGTATACTCTGCAGTTTCTCGCGCAACTCTGATATGGCTGTATTACATTTTCGAGCATCAATGAATCCATGTTTTTTAAACCTGGGATCTAATAGTGTAGATTGAGCTACTAGGACATCATCTTCTAACCTTCCAAACCGAATAAACAATTGTTTGTTTAAAATTGCTGCCATGTTTAAAACTTCTTGGGGTAAGGTCACATCATTAATAAATCTTTTTGTATACTTTTGTAAAGCATTTACAAAAATTAATTCTTTTGAAATCGTTATGTATTTTTCAGCACCTATTTCAGTTGTGATATCATAAAATATTTTTAATAGATCTTTTGACTTTTCAAGAATAATCCAATCATTAGGAGTGAGAGGATTAATCTGACTATAATTTAAAATAGCTAAAGTGGCAATAATTGGCTCTTTAATTTTTAAGAATCTATCAAGCATATCATAAGTGGAGTTCCAACGAGTAGGGCAATCTTGCTTAAGTTTTAAAATTGGAGAATCAGTTTGCTTTTGCATTTCCTGCAACTTTGCCAAGCCATGTGAACTCCTTTTAAAAAATGATACAATATCCTTTACTTTATCTACAATGGACTCAATCACCTCAATACCATTATGTACGATTAAATTAATTGTATGTGCAAAACACGATAATCTCCTCCAATTGCATTTATCAATAGCAGACTTCATATTTGATGCATTATCAGTCACTACTGCAGATATTCTATCAGACAATCGCCACTCAGCCACAGTATCTTTCATAAATTCAGAAATGTTATCAGCGGTATGACTCAGTGGAAAACTTCTGCAACCTAACAAAACACTTTCTAATTTAATACCATTTTCAGGATCTATAAAATGTGCGGTTACTGCAAAAAAACTTTGATTGTTTCTCGATGTAAGCTATTTGAAACAGTCTTCCTCGAAGGAATAATATACGTGGGTGACAACATATTAATCAGTTTTCTAAATTCACTGTCTTCAACTATACTGAATGGGTGATATTCTTTCACAATCATCTTTATAAGCTGTTGATCAATTTGTATTAGACTTACTTAAAGCCAGAGGACGTTGTGATTGGATAAAATGTGTCATTGGCAACTGATTGGGGATTGGAGCTTTTACTACTGATGAAGTAGATTTTACTGGAACTGGCTGAACAGATGTTGAAGGTTGGGGATCATCTACAACCTCAGCGTTTAATTCTTGTATCTAGGTAATAAATTTAGATATTTAAATTCACAAAAATGAAAACAACCAAATACTTTACCATATTTACCACCTAATAAACTATAGCTATTTAGTATTTACTATAACTATAACCATAATTATTTTTTTATTATATTTTATTTTTTTATGATTGTTATAAAATATTTACCTGATTTGATCTTTGTAGTGGAACTGATATATGTTTGGTCCTCATGTGCCTTATAAGATTACCAGTAGAACCACCAGCAATACTTATTTTTTTACTACAATAATTGCATTTTGCCATATTATCTGGTGTAAGTGTAAAGTGATTCCATATATTACTGCGCTTTTTTAAAATCAATGGATTTTGCGTAGACATTGTAATTAATTATAATAATAATAATGTTTGTACAATTACTATTATTATTTATTAGAATTAAGAATTATTAAGAAATTAGAATTAAGAATCACCACAGATTCACTGAAAAAGTCACAACTCAGTACTCACATTGAAGACAGGCAAATAATTTGTTGAGTACTAGTGAGATTAAAATATAAGTATTATTGGGAAAATATAAAATTCCAGTTTTGCAACAGTTATTATATTCTTATATTTTTCATGGACTATAGTACTACAGTACTATACTTTAATAAAGTAAGTAACATATTTAACAGATTTAGAAAATATGTCATAAATCTCTTATCTTAATAGCATCAAGTTTGGGTGTACAAATTTACAAATAACAAATTTATATAAATATCAAATAAATCCTTTATTGTTAAACATTTTTAAATCATTAACTTAATGTATAATATACTATAATAAAGACAATAATAAATAAATATATTTTAAAGAAGAATTTAAATTTTGGTGGGATTTTGGCATGTATTTTATATTTTGATGTATTCAAAATGACGGATAATCATAATAGATGATGTATGCAGTAATACTATCGGATCGTTCAAATGACCCGTTTTGCGAATCATGTGTACTGTGTAGTAGGAAGGCAGGTAGTCGTTCGTTAATTCGTTCGCGGGACGCGTGAACGATATGAACGAATCACATGAACGGGTCTTTTGAATGACCCGATCCGAACGACCCGAATCGTTCAAATGACCCGTTTTGCCCATCACTAGCGCTTACCGGCCAAATACTGTTTCACAGATAGCGCGTTATTGGCAGGTGCGTTGTCCTGGTGCAAAATCCACGAGTTGTTCTTCCAGAACTCGGGCCGTTTCTTACGAACTCGTTCTCGCAGTGTTGCTAAAACTGATAAATAGTAAGTCTGGTTGATAGTCTGACCTTCTGGAACCCATTCAGTCATCACGATACCGTTAATGTCAAAAAAAACGATCAACATTGCCTTGAATTTTGATTTGGACATCCTTGCTTTTTTGATTCTGGGCGATTCAGGCGTCTTCCAATGCATCGATTGCCGCTTTGTTTCAACATCGTATTGAAAAATCCACGTTTCGTCGCAAGTAATAATGTTTTTCGTCAGTCCGGGATCTTCTTTTAACCTTTCAAGGAAATCTGAGCAAACCTGTTGACGCAAGAGCTTTTGGTCAGGAGTCAGGTTTTTTGGCACCAACTTCGCACAGACTTTTTTCATGTGTAATTCCTCATGTAAAATTTTTCTAACCGTTTCTTTATCGGCGTTTACAGCCTCGGAAATCATTCGGATGCTCTTTCGACGAACTGCACGCACAATTTGGTTGATTTTGGTCACTGTTTCCGGAGTTGAAACAGTGACAGGGCGGCCTGGGCGCTGGTCATCTTCAGTGCTCTCTCGGCCCTCACTAAAGCGCTTTCACCACTCAAAAACACGTGCACGAGATAGAGAATTGTCCCCATAGACCTCTTGCAACAATTTATAGCACTCAGTCGGAGTTTTTTTCAATTTAACGAGAAATTTGAGATTGATACGTTGCTCCTGTTTTTCGTCACACATGGTTTTCGGTACGAGAAAAAAACACGTTCGTTTCTAACCGCTACTGCACAAATACTATAATAGTGACGAAAACGTGTTTTGGCACGTGCATAGATAATATATCTAGATACCCAACGCACTAATCGTTTTTTTTCCCCACCCGTCTACGGCCCCTATAGGCGGGCAGTCTCGTTATTTAATAGCCAGACCTCGTATTATAATAATTGTTATTGTGTCTAATTAACCTCTAAAATCCCAAATCTAAACTAAGTATCTCCCATAATTAAGCCAAGGACAAAATTGTTAACTTAAATAATATATCATTTAATTTATATATATAATTAATAATTTCTTAGGTTCTAATATTATTTAAAACCAGGTTACAATATGTTATCACAATTTGTTTTACTGTTATCTATTTATGTTAACAGATTCTTACACAATTTCATAAATGATTATTTATGTACAGTCACACTATTGGAGGTAAGAAGTTTGGTGAGTAGGATATTAGGTAATATAGCAATAATGATGTTATTTAACTAAAAATGTTTGCTGAAAATTTTTTTGAGGATTTTAATTAAAAATCTGGGGATAAAAATAAGATTGTTGGAGATTTAGGAAACTTTTATCACGAATTTTTGGGTAATTTACAATTTTTTACCTGGCAACACTGGCCCATGCCACATACAATATACTCGTACTCGTTCGTAGTTCGTACTCAATCTAAATCGAAATGATTTCATATCTCTTTCGCACGGGAATTACTATTTATTTTATCGTTATCTGTGTATACAAAGCTATTTGGTACAGAGTAGAGAGCCTAGATAATAAGAGAGTGGCCAACTCGGTGATAAATTTCTATTGGTCGACTGTTATCAGTAGCCCTGGACGCCATTAATCGTCCAAATATTTAATATGTTTTATAGTCAAGATACGAAATATGCATTATAAATTATAATATAAATAATAATATTATAATTTAATTAATTTGTAATTACATTTTTATGCAAATAGTGCAAGACAAGTTATATTTTTATTCTAACCTAACATAGTTTGTAATATTTAAATAATAAATATTATTTATATTTGTGTCATTGAACCATATTGAAAGTAAGTTATTAATTAGTATCTATTAGATTCAAAATTAATATTATTTTTCTAGTGCATACAAACTAAATTTAATTATTTATAATATTGTGTTAGAATGCCTGGATGCTGTGCCTATGGTTGCTCTAATAGATCTGAAAATGGCTTCATATTAAAAGTCTTTCCTAAAGATAAGGTGAGGCGTGCCTTGTGGGCATCAAAAGTAAAAAGGGACAAGTGGAAGCCAACAAACAATTCCTATCTTTGTGAAGTAAATATATATATTTTCAACCTATTTTAAAGAGAAGGAAATTAAAAATATTAGTATAGAATTATAATCATGACATGATACATAATTAATGTGTTTATCTTTAACACATTTCATTATTCAATTTACCTAACAATAAAAATATTATTATTTAATATACTAAAAAATAATAAATGAACAATCTTTTGGCCTTTAAGGAAATGAAATACTAACAGATTATAGTTAAATATTATTATTTATTTTATTTATTTATTAAAAATATTTACTATCAATGTAAATTACTATGAAATTAAACGTAAAAATATATTGATAGGTACTAGGTATGATAATTATAGGTACCAATTTTAAGTTATAATTAATTATAGGGTTGTCAGTTACATATTTTCATTTTAAAATTTATAATTATTTTTATTATTGAATTGTTATTTTTATTTATAGAGTCATTTTGATGAAAGCCAATGGGAAAAGGTTAGAGTAGATGGTAAAAAGAAATTGAAGTTTTCTGCTGTCCCTACAATTTTTACTCATCAACCAATCAAACCAATTCGAAAAACTCCAGTAAAAAGGTTACAGAACTCAACTCCAAGTCCGATTAAACGAGCAAAATCTAATATAACTGAGTATTCTTATGCGACAAGCCAACAACAATCGGAACCCTCCTATGATAAACCACCAAGTATAGATAATACACATGCGACAAGCCAACAACATTTGGAACCCTCCTATGATAACCCACCAAGTATAGATAATACATATACAGACATTAATATTATTCCTGATGACACTTTAGAAAAAGCTGATATTTTAAAACAAATTGAGTATTTAAAAAAAAAAATATCAAAACAAGGCCAATTAGTACACAAGTTACTTCAAAATAATAATCACACTCTTAAAATGAATTACAAACAAAATATTAAATACGCTACATTTACTAAAACTTTGAAATCATTTTTAAACGACAATCAAATAGCATCACTAAGTGTTAAAAATAAAAAAGGGTTTAAGTGGTCAAATGCCTCTATCAAAACAGCATTACGCTTAAAATTTGTCTGTGGATCAAATGGTTATGAGGAACTTCTTGCACAAAACAACCCTTTACCATCTCTTAGAACAATACGTCGAAAATTACAAAAAATATCATTTTCCAGTGGAATTCTTGAATGTATTTGAAATTCTTTCAATAAAAATTGCTTCTATGAACAATTTTGAAAAAGAATGTGTATTAGTGTTGGATGAAATGTTTCTGACTAAAGGTATAAATTATGATGTTGCTTCAAAATCATTTATTGGAAATGTCACACTTCCTGAACATGAAGGTATTGCAAATCATGGTTTAGTATTTATGCTTGGTGGCATATCTAGTCGCTGGAAACAAACGGTGGCATACTATTTCACCAGCGATTCAGTTAAAGGTAGTGCATTGAAACCAATTATAAATAGTATAATTTCCAAATCTGAAGCCATTGGCCTTCGAGTTAACTCAATAACTTCAGATATGGGGTCTTGTAATAAAGCTATGTGGGCTAGCTACGGAGTTGGTTGTTCATTTTTAGGAAATATAAATAATAGTGTATTACATCCATGTGATTCAGAACGTAAGCTATATTTTTTACCTGATGTACCTCACTTATTTAAAAATATTAAACAAGCAATAATTAACAACAAAGTTATAACTATACCAGATAATATAGTAAAAGAAAATAATTTGACATCTAACATAGTTTATTGTAAACATATTGAAGAACTATATAAACATCAAAATGATTTTGAACTTAAATTATTTCATAAACTTAATATAGAGGATATCCAAAAACCAAATCATTTTGATAAAATGAAGGTATCAAAAGCCACTAGTGCCATTAATATGGATGTTGCTGCAACCTTATCGTACCTAATTAAAAATGAAGATTATCATTCCTCATACAGACTACTGCTTGGTTCATTAGACAAGTTTTCATGGTTTACAATTATGTCTTCTCGAGATCCAGTTGTTGCTTTGAGTAAACGCAATTCCGAAAAATATATAGAAACTCTACAATTTTTAAACAAATTTATGGATTTATTTAGAAATATTAAAATAGGTTATAAAAAAACTTGGAAACCTTGTCAAAGTGGAGTCTTAGTAGCTACACAATCCATTTTAGACCTACAAGACTTATTTTTAAATAAGAAAAATGTTCGTTCCCTTTTAACCTCAGGGTTTACACAAGATTGTTTAGAAAATTTGTTTTCTTGTATGAGAAGTATTCAATCAGTACCAAATGCATTACAGTTTAAATGTAACTTAAAACTTATATGTGTTGCTCAATATCTAAAACATGTCTCATATAGTAGCTATGAACAGGACGATAGAGAGTTCCTAGGAGATTTTTTAGATTTTTCAAAAATTCCAACTACTACAAACTCAGAAACATATGAAGAGTGTTCTGATTCTGATATAAATGACATGTTATACATAATACTGAACAAAATAGTTTATACAATATTGCAGGTATTATTTAATCATAAATTCTTAACACAGATAATATGGTGCATTTAATCTTGCTATCTTATTTTTGAATCTCTCTAATACTTTGTATTTTTGTACATTCAGGATACATAGTGTCAAGAATAGAGTAAAACGATAAAATTTGCTTTAACTGTATTGATTCGGTATGATGTCTTCAACCTTTGAACACTTATTACTCAACATTTGTTTCACTTAAAGAGTATAAACCTGGGAGCCTGAAATATGTCAGTGAAGATTGTTGTCTATTATTTTTAAACATGGAAATTTTTTTCAGAAGATATAGAAACTTAATTTTATCTAATAAGAGAGATTTATTTATGGACAAATTACAGTCAGAACTAATGAATTATACATTTTGCAAATGTGGTGCCATAAAAACTAAAATCATCAATAGATTTATTGAATTTAGATGTAAAAATTTAGGTAAATTGATGTCTAAAGATAATAAAAAAAAAACTTCTTGCCTTAGAGCCAGCAAAAGTATCGCAATGAGAGAGATGGTAAACAATAATCTACAAAAAAAAAAAAAAATAAATAGTAAAATAGGTTAAAATGTATAATACAATAATAACAAAATATATAATTAATTAGTACCTACTAATATATATTAATAAATACACTGAAATTAATATACTTGTCTATTGTATTATTTTTTATTTATATGTAAATATATTGATTTGTTTAAAATAGTTATGCTGTAAGTAGGTAGTATATATTGGTATAAAAATGTATTAAACTACAAAAAAGAAAAAAAATAACCAAATGGTAAGATTTTCAGATTCCGAAATTCTTAAAAACATAAACCAAAAATATAAAGCGCGGGAATAGTTTGGACGAAAAATGGCTGCTATCAATTGAGTTGGCCACTCTCTTATTATCTAGGCTCTCTAGTACAGAGTATTCAGTATTCAAAACAAAACCGTTCACTTTATCTCACCGTTAAACTATAAAATCTAATCTTTTTTTCGATAATTTGTACTTGTCGATATATTGACTGTCAATGTTTCGTACCAGACCCCATTGCCAGTACATTAGAAATTGATGAAAACTTACCAGTTATTGGTTACATTGAACATTGTGGAGAATTTTTCCAAAGAATAAGTACTCCATTTTTATACTGTGACAATGATGCATATCAAAGAATGTTATTGACAACATTGCAAAAGATAAAACACGAGAACTCAGAAAGACCTCAAAATATTATAACGTTGGAAAATGTTAAAGTTATTATTATTTTGTTTATTTATTTCTTATGTTATAACTTATAAGTCTTAATTTTGTATAGGTACCTACTTAGTTATTTCAACTCACTATAAAGGTCAGAAAAAATTATATCATTAATATTTTGTTGATATTTATTACCTATTGTACAAATGCACATTACTACTGACTATCAATTATTAAAAACAGTTTACAGTTAATAATTCTTTTATATCTACAATATTATAATATCATTTATATCGCATAAATAAATGAAAAAAACTTCCAAAATGACTGTATGTCTGTATCACGAAGAATAAAGATCTTTATTCTTCATGGTCTGAATGAATTTGTTATATTATTCAAGTATTTCTACACTCTGTTCGCCGAGAGAACATGCCGGTTCTGCGAATGCAGAATTGCAGTGTTCGAACGCGGACGGCCGCCGTACCACCGGTTCGCGCCCGCCGATTTGACCGCCAAACCTTTTTCGGCGCTGAACCTTCTAGCAGCCACATGGGTGTCCTAGCGCTTCGGTCGCACGACGGTGTTTTTGCCAATTTAGCCATTTTATGGCTAGAACTAGCCTTTTCTGATACCCATCTAGCCATTGAAATTTCTGAAAATGCTTTATATTCAACCCAATTCTATTATATTATTATTGTTATTAAAGGATTGGTTGTAATTACTAGCCAGGTATTAAAAAATACATTCAAGTTATATAAAAAATCAGTAATATCATAAAAACTAGAAAGGAGCTTACATACCTATATAGTGTATATATTATAAAATAGATGTATGTATTTAATTTTCAAATTCCCGAATGGAGATCACATTTTGGCTTTTGCTATAATTTAGTAATGTAGTAATTTACTATTTAGTTTTAGTGTAATGATAATATGGTATATATTAAACTGTATAGATAAATATAAAAAGTTTCATATTATAAATTATTCATCATAAATTGAAAGGTAATTGCATAGGTAATTTAAAAAAAATGTTAGTTTGTTATACTAGGAATTCATTCTATATGGTTTTTCAAATATAGTAGACTAATAAATATATACGAAATTACTATATATACTTATAATTTTAAGTTTGATTAGGAACATTACATAAAAACAAAGTGTTTGGTATAATAATAGGTTATATGTATACCTGCCTATAAACAGGCCTTTTTAACAGCCGTAAGTCATAACATAAGAAAGAGTTGTACTAAATTATAATATTACATTTTTATTATTTTATAGCATTTTTATTATAATAAATCATTGTATTACATTTTATTATTTTGGACTTGTGTTAAATTAAATTTTATTATGTTTTAATATGTGATTTAAGTAAGTAAAATTTTTTTATGATATTATATGATTTTTTATTTAACTTTAATGTATTTTTCAACACAATTTTAATATATTTATACTTCAGTTTTGATATATTTTCATTCATTTTTATCGGGACTTTTTTTTTCCGCGATTCTACGGCAGCACTGGTACTCGACGTCGATAGTAGATAATAAGGGATCACAATATATTTGTTCCAAATTAATTAAGGTCCAAATTTTACCTTTTCTTCCACAAAACATTTGTTCCTATGGACTTTCTTTCCATAAACCGTTTTTACCAATACACTTTGTCCCATGAATATTTGTTCCAAAAAACGTTTGTTCCAAACGTGGGACAAGTGTTCTGTGGAATAAATATTCATGGAACAAAAGTACATGGAAAGAGATATTTTGTGGAACAAAAGTCCAATTTAGTAAATGTTTTGCTGAACAAAGTCTGTTGGAATAACTTTTTTGTGGAACATAGTTTATTTGGAACAAACTACTTGCCCAAACACCTCATATCATATAATTATATAATATCTATGATTTAAAATTATATCATGCCAAAATCGGTATCGCACTATCACAAAATAAACCACAATATTGTATTCATGTCTCATAAGTCATAATTTCTATTTTCTATTTTATAACATTTTTTTTAAATATAATGTCTAACATTTAACTTACGGTTGCTACCAGTTTTAAATTCAATTATAATTATTTACTTTTTAGGTAGTTCAGTAGTTGTAAAATGTAAATCTATTTTTATTTTTTTTATCATCGCCAGCATAAAATGGTTAACATTGGAATAGGTAGGTAACCAATTTATACAATTTCTAACGTTACAAACAAAGTAATTCAAATTTCAAATACTCACTATGACTATGTTCTATAATTCTTTATTATTATTTATAATAGGTATTAGCCATTAGGTGTATTATTAATTTTTTTTTTTTGATTCTAGAGCATCTATAGTTTTTGACATTTGTTATAAGTATTATTCTGTGTTGAGAAAGTTGATTAGGTTAGGTTAAATCTAGGAAGATAAATAATATTATGCATATTAGTTTATTTTAAACGAAATAACTAAAAACAATATAAAATGAACAATTTTCTCCATAAAACTTAACATTAAATATAGAAGCTATAATAAAAATAAATAAATGTGTACACCATAAAGTCTTAACCTAAGTTATAGCCACGATACATATTTATTTGGCCTCGACAAAGAGGGCATACTTCATACTGTTAATGTATCATTCTTGTAACACAAATGTAGCAGAACTGATTTCCACAAGGCACCAAAGTTACCACGACCACCCTATCGAAACATATGCAGCATAGTTCCAAGATATCTAAAACAATTTGAAATTATTTATATAATTGTATATCAGAGATGTTATTTATAGTAAATTTATTAAAATAAATATATTTACTTGCATTGTCAACAGGAAGTGGCAGGTGGTTATTAATCAGCAGTAAAATTGCTGGCTCTGGTTCTGAAAACAATATGCAATTTATTTATTAGAACCTTTCCCCGCTATTTACATTAACTAATGTTAACATTTTTGACTAAATTAAATTATACCATTCTCATTATCCATGTAGACGGTGGGTGTATATTAATACCTGGTACTATAGCTTCTAAATGATAAAATTGAAGTATCGCGTTAAACAATCTATTGATTACTTTTAGCAATATGCAGTTGTTATGGTTTATATTCATTTATAAATGACTTACGATGTGGAAAATTGGGCTCCCCAATTTCATTTCTGATTATTTGCTCTGGCGCGGCATGTACGCCACATTAGTTATAAAATCACTAAGATTGTAGTTGCCGTTTTCTACATTTATCCACGCATTTCGTATAGTTATATATCGTTACGCGGGTAAACCCTGTAATCAGCTTGCCTTACCTAATGAACCAAAACTGGAGTAAGTATGTTGTTCAGACATATTAATAATTATAACATGTTAAAAAAAAAAAAAAAAAACATTGTTAATAAAGTGATTAATTTGATTACAGATGTACTAACCCTCTGCCCGTTGACTGCTCGACTGAAATCATTTCGTCCTCTCTCTTCAACTGTTCTCAAATGATCTAATAAATGTATATAAACAATTTTATCATATTAGCAATCAGCTTCCTATAATCTCTCAATTTCATAACAATTTTACTTTGATTTTATAAAAAAAATTACCATAAAATCCATACAATGTTGGGTGTTGGCCCATTAGCCGTAACAGCGATGAGTGATATGACTCTATATAGTTGTTTGTTCTATACTGTAGCCTGAATACTGTAAATCTCCGTGGAGTAACAGTATCAATCCAGTATCGCTCATAATACTTCATTAGATCTGCCAATTGATCTAAGTTATAGTCAGGAACTGAAATTAAAATAATATATTTATACAAATCATTCCAAAGTAGCATATTGTGCTCAGTTAATTATTATAAATGTACCTGTATCAGCCTAAATCCCAATTGGATTGAATAAGC